CGGGGTTTCACCGTGTTAGCCAGGATGGTCTCAATCTCCTGACCTTGTGATCCACCCGCCTCGGCCTCCCAAAGTGCTGGGATTACAGGCGTGAGCCACCGTGCCCGGCCAGTTTTACTTGGTTTTAATTAGTTCAAATGAGAGTTTAAATAGCCACATATGGCTAGCAGCTACTGTACTGGACGCTGCCCCAGGAAGTCCGCTTTTCCTGGGTTCATCCCCAGGGCTCACTCCTGTAGCTCCATCTGCCTTTCCAAGCCCCCAACTTCAGAAGTGTCTGAGCAGCAAGCTCAGCTTCGGGGCCCGGGGGCTACTTGCCCTGGAGGGAGATGGCATAAGCTGAACTCCCCAGGCCCCGCAGACCCTGGGGTGTCCCATCTGCTTTGAGGAGCAGGCGCTTGTCTCTGAGGGGCCTTGTTTCCCTTTGCTTCTTGAATGGTAAGTATTTAAGTCCCAGAGCTTTTTTTTTTTTTTGAAACAGAGCCTTGCTCTGTCACCCAGGCTGGAGTGCAGTGGCACCATCAGGACTCATGCAGTCTCGACTTCCTGGGTTCAAGCGATCCTCCTGCCTCAGCCTTCTGAGTAGCTGGGGCTACAGGTACCACCATGCCCTGCTAATTTTTTCTTTTTTTTTTTTTTTGGTAGAAATAGGATCTCACTATGTTGTCCAGGTTGGTCTTGAGCTCCTGGGCTCAAGCCATCCTCCTGCTTTGGCCTCCCAAAGTGTTGGGATTATAGGCATGAGTCACTGTGCCCAGCCATCCCACAGCTTTTGATTCCTCAGTTTCAGACTTTAGTTTTCATATGGAAAAATCAGTATTCATTTACTCATTCACTCATTCAGTTGACACTTAGCTTTTTTCTCTTTTTCTTTTTTCTTTTTTTTTTTTTTTTTGAGACAGAGTCTCGCTCTCTCACCCAGGCTGGAGTGTAGTGGCGTGATCTCGGCTCACTGCAATCTCTGCCTCCCAGGTTCAAGTGATTCTGCTGCCTCAGCCTCCCAAATAGCTGGGACTATAGGTGCCCACCACCATGCCAGGCTAATTTTTTTTTTTTGTATTTTTAGTAGAGGTGGGGTTTCACCATGTTAGCCAGGATGGTCTCGATCTCCTGACCTTGTGATCCGCCCACCTCAGCCTCCCAAAGTGCTGGAGGCATGAGCCACTCCGCCTGACCAACACTCAGCTAGCACACTTGCTAGTCCGGGCAGAATCCAGGATTCAGCAGTTCCAGGTGGTGGCGTCATGGTGGTCCCGAGGCCCCGCTGGCTGGCACCAGGGATGCTCACCCCTTAATTAGCTCAGGCTGCTCACCACCCCTCTTACGGTTCCCCGGTGCCTGGGCCAGCAAGCCCAGGCAAGTCCTGGGGGATCAGAAGGAACTCAGCACCCATTTTCAGCCCCACGGCAGGACTCGCAGAGCCCCAAGCCACCCGGTTGGTCCAACACATTCCTTTCTTCCCAGGGGTGGTGGAAGCCAGGGCCCCCTCTGCTCTTTTACTGACTTGACCAAAATTCCTGGGGCCACACACCCCTAAGACTTGACAAATGGGATGACCTTAGTTGTTGGCGACCCTGGCCTTCCTGTCCCAGGTCCTCCCACTTGGAGGGCCACTACCCCCGCCCCTCCAGGTGAGGTAGGGTGTTGCCCACTCCTCTCCCTTAAACTCTGTTGCTCTTTCAGGGAAAGAGACAGGCCTACTCAGCTCTGGCAGCCCCCAGCCAGGGGGCGGACCCCTGACCCAGGGGGACTTCTTGAAACTGCTTTATTTTACCCCATGTTTCCAGAGCCTCACCCCTGACTTGGGCCCCATCAGTTTTGGGGGAATGCTGGCTGCAGCTGGGCAGTGCCAGAAGGCCTGTGACAGCACAGCATCTTTTCTGGGCAGGCTTTCCCTTCAGCAGGCCTTTCTGGGCCCCTCAAGCGCTGGGCAAGGGCGAGGCCTCAGGCTCCAGCCGGCAGACAGGAGATGAGAAGGAGGAGTGGAGAGGCGCGTACTCAGGTGAGGGACTGGCGCGCGCCTTTGTCTGCGGGAGTGGGGTGCAGACGCCGGCCTTCTGGCTGTTGTCTGTGGGAGTGGGGCAGGGACACCAGACCCCCTCCTGGACCGTTTGCGCCCAGGGCGGCCCTTGCGCTTTTTGGTCTCCGAGAATCCAGCCCCCACCCTTAGCTCTGCCTTCTCCACCCTCCTGGTGCCCTTAGGAAAGCTCGTCCCTCGCTGGAAACGACTTTCTTTTTCCAGGAGCTATCGAGGTGGGGCAGAGGATGCCGACTTCATCGGTGGCAGCCCTTGGAGATGTGAAGCCCTTCAGAAACAGGGCGGGGAGAGTCCAGGGGGGCGTTCCGCAGTGCGCGCAGGAAGCAGCTTGCGGCCGGAACTCAGGGCCGGCCAAAGACTCCGGGCAGCTGGCTAATCCAGATGGCACTCCAGTTGCAGCTCCGCCAGACCCCAGTCCCACGGAGCCCCAGGAGGGCCGCGTCCCGGAGAAGCCCAGCGAGGAAGAGAAGGGAGCCCCAGAGAGTGGCGAGGAGGGTCTGGCCCCTGACAGCGAGGCGGGCAGGAAGAGCTACCGGTGCGAGCAGTGCGGCAAGGGCTTCAGCTGGCACTCGCACCTGGTGACGCACCGGCGCACGCACACGGGCGAGAAGCCCTACGCCTGCACTGACTGCGGGAAGCGCTTCGGCCGCAGCTCGCACCTCATCCAGCACCAGATCATCCACACGGGCGAGAAGCCCTACACGTGCCCCGCCTGCCGGAAGAGCTTCAGCCACCACTCCACACTGATCCAGCACCAGCGCATCCACACTGGAGAGAAGCCCTACGTTTGCGACCGCTGCACCAAGCGCTTCACCCGACGCTCGGACTTGGTCACCCACCAGGGCACCCACACGGGCGCCAAGCCGCACAAGTGCCCCATCTGCGGCAAGTGCTTCACGCAGAGCTCGGCGCTGGTCACCCACCAGCGCACCCACACCGGGGTCAAGCCCTACCCGTGCCCCGAGTGCGGCAAGTGCTTCAGCCAGCGCTCCAACCTCATCGCGCACAACCGCACGCACACGGGCGAGAAGCCGTACCACTGCCTCGACTGTGGCAAGAGCTTCAGCCACAGCTCGCACCTCACCGCGCACCAGCGCACCCACCGTGGCGTGCGGCCCTACGCCTGCCCACTGTGCGGCAAGAGCTTCAGCCGTCGCTCCAACCTGCACCGGCATGAGAAGATTCACACCACCGGGCCCAAGGCCCTGGCCATGCTGATGCTGGGGGCGGCGGCGGCGGGGGCTCTGGCCACACCCCCACCTGCTCCCACCTAGGAGGCCAGGAGAGGGGAAGCGGGGCGCCCGGGGCCACTGGGACAGCCCCACTGGAGTCAAGGCTCCGAGGGAGGAGAGAGGGGAGCGGGAAGGGAGCTAGGGCGGTGAGGGCATGGGGTGAGGCATGGCGACAGGGGAGGGCGAGAAGGGGCAGACACTCTGCGAATTAAAGGCCTTGGACTTGAAGCGCCCGCCTACCCAGCTTTGTCTCCTGGTGCCCTGGTGTTCATTCCCCGAGTGTGGGGGAGCTCCTGGGTCAATCTCCTGTCCTCGTCGAGGCATTCCCGAGTCACCACTCTTGGCTTGGGACCCCACCGGGGTTGGGTTCCCTTTTGTCAAAGGCCCATTCCAGAGCGTTGCACACATTGGCAAGCAAAGGCTTCAAGTACAGAGAGGTTTCCAGGGCTGAAGCCAGTCAGCCACTCCTGGACCTGGGGAACCCTCGCCGGCCGTCTGCCGCTGCCGCCACTTGTCCCAAGGGCACTGCTTACTGAGCCCGCACTCTCCCGTGGCTCTTCTCTTTGGAAGCCAGGAACAGGCAGAACTGGTCCGGAAACTCCTGCCTGCCCCATTTCTCACCGAGGCATCGGTGGCTCAGTTTTGTGACTGGCCTTTGCCGTTTGCTCCCACCGTGGCCTGCCTTTGCTCCTCACCAGGGGCCACTTTCCTTCTTGGCCCATGCTGCAGCTGCTGTCACCTGCCTCTGCTATGTCTCACCTTCTTGGCCTCTTGGTATATGTCCTTTATAATTCGCCCTGCTCGCCCCTGCCTGGCTCTGAGATTTGATTTACTCCTGGTCTTCCTGCTGGCCGTTTTTTTTTTTTTTTTTTTTTTTTTTTTTTTGCGACGGAGTCTCGCTCTGTCGCCGGCTGGAGTGCAGTGGCCTGATCTCCACTCACTGCAACCTCCACCTCCTGGGTTCAAGTGATTCTGCTGCCTCAGCCTCCTGAGTAGCTGGGACTACAGGTGCACGCCACCATGCCCGGCTAATTTTTGTATTTTTAGTAGAGACAGGATTTCACCATGTTGGCCAGGATGGTCTTGATCTCCTGACCTTGTGATCCACCCACCTTGGCCTCCCAAAGTTTTGGGATTACAGACCTGAGCTACCTCGCCCGGCCCCCTGCTTTTTTATTTGTTTTTGTTTCATTTTTTGAGGCTGAGTCTTGCTCTGTCGCCCAGGCTGGAGTGCACTGGCGCGATCTTGGCTCACTGCAACCTCCAGCTCTTGGGTCCCAGCGATTTTCCTGCCTCAGTGTCCCAGGTAGCTGGGATGACAGGTGTGCGCCACATACCTGGCTAATTTTTTGTATTTTTAGTGGAGACAGGGTTTTACCATGTTGGCCAGGCTGGTTTTGAACTCCTGACCTCAGGTGATCCGCCCACCTCAGCTTTCCCAAGTGCTGGGATTATAAGCATGAGCCACCGTGCCTGGCCTCTTCCCCTGGTTTTAACCTCTGTAGCTCCCAACTCCCATTCTCTGCTTTTTTCCCTGGGTGGGGATGGACTCAGCTGGCCTGTCATCCCTTATTTGTGGCCCAGGTCCCAAGATAACTTTCAGTTCTGACACCAACTGACCATGAGGATGTCTGCACCAAGGAGGCCCTTGAGACCCTACCTGTCTTTGTGGATTATGAGGCCACCAGGGTGGCCACAGCCCTGGTTGGCTCCCAGATCCTAAGGAAAAGAGTGGCTTGCCGAGGATGGTGGACTGAGAAGGATAATCATAGCTGCCAGTTGTCAAGCAGCTGCTCTTCCAGGCACAGGGCCAAGCACTATAGATACAGCACCCCAGCTCTCCACAACAATGTAAGTGTGCATTGTTAGCCCAGGTTTTTTTTGTCTTTTTAAAAATAGAGATGGGGTCTTGCTATGTTGTCCAGGCTGGCCTGGAACTCCTGGGCTCAAGTGATCCACTCACCTCAGCTTCTCAAGTAGCTGGGACTACTGGTGTGCACTACTAGGCCCCATGCAGGGCTATCTAAAAAGAGGAGGACAAGGCCAGGCACAGCGGCTCACACCTGTAATCTCAGCACTTTGGGAAGCCGAGGTGGGTGGATCACTTGAGGCCAGGAGTTTGAGACCAGCCTGGCCAACATGGTGAAACCCCGTCTCTACTAAAAATACAAAAATTAGCTGGGCATGGTGGCAGGCACCTATAGTTCCAGTGACTTGGGAGGCTGAGGCAGGAGAATTGCTTGAAACCAGGAGGTGGAGGTCGCAGTGAGCTGAGATCTTGCTACTGCACTCCAGACTGGATGACAGAGCGAGACTCTGTCTAAAAAACAAAAAACAAAAAAAAGAGAGAGAGTAAGACAATAGATTTGACCTTCAGGAATGTTAGACTCAGCTAGGGATGTGGGTGGGGTGAGATGTAATCAAATGGACACTAGGGGGCTGCTTACTAGTGGAAGCCCAGGCAGGACTTGATGGTGTCCAGGAGGTCTCTGGAATCTAGGCTAGGGAGGCTGGCAGGATTGGTTGAATTAAATGATTATTTCTCAGGCCAGAAAAAAAGCTGTTTTCTCCCTTCAGTTTGTCTTCACGCACCAGTCACTTAGCCAGAAATAGGATTGCTCTGCTTGGTTCAGTGTGAGGGGGTGAGGGAGACTCATTTGTAAAGCAGGGTTGCTCTCAAAGAGCTCATTTTCTAAGTAAGGAGAGAGACAGAGGTGGGAGAGTTGCTAAAATGACCCTGGAAGCCGTCATCACTTGGCAAGAGAGCTGAGCAGAGTACTCACTCGCACAGTGACTATTGCTTCCTTTAATTTCAGTTCCTTAGGCTCCATGAACAGCGTGCCAGGGACCAGATGTCAGGACTTGAGTGATTCAGAGGTCTGTCGAGGCTCAGTGTGGTGCCTTACACCTGTAATCTGAGCACTTAGGGAGGTTGAGACAGGAGAATCTCTTGAAGTCAGGAGTTTGAGACCAGCTTGGGCAACATAGGGAGACCCTCGTCTCCGAATAATTAAAAAAATTAGCCAAGCATGGTGGTGTGTGCCTGTAGTACCAGTTACTTGGGAGGCTGGGGTGGGAGGATCGCCTGATCCTGGGAGGTTGAGGCTGCAGTGAACTGTGATCAAACCACTGCCCTTCAGCCTGGGCAACAGAGCAAGACCCTGTCTCAAAAAAAAGACTGTTGAGTGATCTAGGGAGTTATTTAAAAACTTCACTCTGGGCTGGGCGCGGTGGCTCATGCCTGTAATCCCAGAACTTTGGGAGGCAGAAGCGGGTGGATCACGAGGTCAGAAGTTCAAGACCAGCCTGGCCAAGATGGTGAAACCATGTCTCTACTAAAAATACAAAAAATTAGCCAGGCATGGTGGCACGCTCCTGTTAATCCCGGCTACTCCAGAGGCTGAGGCAGAGAATTGCTTAAACCTGGAGGGGCGGAGGTTGCAGTGAGCTAAGATTGCGCCACTGCACTCCAGCCTGGGCAACAGAACAAGACTCCTTCGCAAAAACAAAACACTTCACTCTGGCCTCCAGGGAGCCCAGACAGCACAAAGTATCCTGGAGAAATGTTTCCCCTTTTGTGGCAGAGTGCAGGGACACAGGTTCCAAGGGCCCCATGGAGGGTGCCTGCAGATGGCCATTCCCTAGGGTTGGCCCACTTCTCCCTCTAGGGATCCCTCCAGAGGCCCCATTGTGGGATAGATCTGGCAAAAGTATCTTAACAGTGAAACTTGGCAGTTTGGGAAATATTCGACAAGCACAAATAAGACAGGGAGGAGTAGTGGCTGTGCCATGGAAGGGCCTGGAACGCCAGGCTGAAGGGTACTCATAGTTTGGTGGGTTACGGGCATCACTGAGAAGTGGGAGGCTGGAGGGAAGAAGCCAGGGAACGGTCTTGGTGTCTCCCTGGGTAGAGGGTGAGCAGGCTCAGAGGTTTCCTTGGCTTCCTCGGGGCTTCTTGGCCACCAGAGAACCCCACTAGATCATCACCGACGCGGTGTCAGGAGCAAGGTGAGGGCAGAGGCGGAGAGGCAGAACGTTTCCATCCTGGCTTCCCACCTGCTTCCCTGCGGCCCCAGGTCCCTGTTGCAGGAGCTCAGGGATCGGCTGGCGGCGCTGCCCCCCTGGGCCGGGGGTATCGGCGTCAGCGCCCTCCTAGCCTGGAATACTGTCTCCCAACTCCCGGGCCCGGCTGTGTAGTGACGCCCAGAGTCGGCAGGGTCCTTTGGGCCTAGCCTCTCGCTCTGCGGCCCCATTTCCCGCAGGACTGAATCCAGGAGGCCACGCCCACGCTCTGCCCTTAGCCAATCAGGCATCGAGGCGGGGGAGAAAGGCGGTGCCAGCACAACCAGCCAATCACGACAGACGTTTGTGTCCGGCCCTCTTCCCCCCCCCGCCACGCCCCAAGCCGCACGGTTGCCCCGGCAACTGCTCCAGGCGCCAGTCTTTGAAAGATTCCCTCTTACCCTTCGCTGGGCGTTGGTTGCCGAAGGTAGCAAAGACCACGGGGCTGGCCTCGGCTTCGGCTTCGCTGCAGACCTCAGTCCTCACAGCGCGCCCCGCCCCGTCACTGACTTCCTGGGTCTATCACCGAGATGCCGAGCCTCCTGCAGTCCTAGAAAGCATACGGCGCAGGGCCAGGGCCACTTCCGGCCCCGAGGACTGCCTGCCAATTTGCGGCACTGGCTCCTGCACCAGGGCTGGGTGCGTTCGCTGCACATGCCTCGAAGCTGGAGCATCTTCCTAACTCCCGAGCAGTGGCTGACGGTGCTGCCAGCTGTCGTGCGGTACGGCCGGCGGAGAGAGGCCAGGAAGGAGACCGTGTCCTCTTCTGGGGGAGCAGAAGAAACTCGCGGACTGTGCGAGGCTGCTCGCGGCTCTGGAGTGCCTGTGGGACAGAGGGCGGCAAACGTTAACAGTAGGGGCTTTGCTGCGTTCCTCACACATTCATTTTTCTTTTTTCTTTTTTTCCCCAGAGATGGAGTCTTGCTCGGTTGCCCAGGCTGGAGTGCAGTGGCGCGATCTCGGCTCACTGCAGCCTCCGCCTCCCGAGTTCAAGCGATTCTTCCACCTCAGCCTTCTGAGTAGCTGAGACTACAGGCGCCCATCACCATGCCCGGCTAATTTTTGTATTTTTAGTAGAGACGGGGTTTCACTATGTTGGCCAGGCTGGTCTCGAACCCCTAACCTTGTGATCCCCCTGCCTCGGCCTCCCAAAGTGCCGGGATTAC